TGGCACACCTAGCAGCCTCATAGGAGCGACATATCGTCAACACATCCTGAAGAGAGGAGGAAGAGTCGAGGGAGGTGAGGCGTTGGACAAGTTCCTCGTCCTTAACACCCATCAGGATCACCTGCTTCAACTGGGTCTCCTCGCACTGCTGGTGGTGGCCTAAACATATATCTACCTCTTCCGAGGCTCTCTTAAGACGTACATAAAAAGCGCCAAAAGACTCGCCCTCCATCTGTCTGCAGCTAAACAATTCCCTCCTGCGCAGAGCTTCATTCTGCTGTCCTTTGATGTGCCATTGTAGAACGTCCAGTACCTCCTCTACAGACAGCGAAGAGGTTGGGGGTACCTGCAACGTATGTTCTAAGACACGCTGAACTTCCAAGGACAGGCACATACGCAGCTGGATGAGTTGTTTAGGCTGTGACAAACTCTGGAGATCCACCATTGTAGCATAATCAGCCCACCGCCGCCGCCATTCGCGAAAAGTCTGGAAATTTACATCAGGCTCCAAGATGGGCGGTGTTTGAGCTGCTGCTTTAGGTGGGGCTGGGGGGCGTGAAGGAAGCATGGATGAGGTATCTGAACCATTCAGTACTGAGGCAGTGTTAGAGCCAGGGGCTTGGTTAACAGTGAGGCGAGATATCAAGGCTTCAAACCGTGCACTGTCTTCCATTCTCCGTTGGTGGTCTCGTTCTGCCTCTGCTTGCCTTCTGTGCTCATCCGCCAAACGTCTGTGAGCTTCATCCTCGCGTCTCTCATCTCTCATAAACTTCATTAAGGCAATTATCTCTGGAGATAACGCTGAATGTTGAGGTGAAGGGCTGCGCGATGTTGTGGGAGCTGGGCCGGCCTGGTTATCCATCTCTGGGGGACTATCATCCGCTTGACTCATCCAGGCGCTGGGTCCACGGCTACGTAAGGCATGAGACATAACTACTTTATCTGTGTACTGTGTCTTAAATCAGTGTTGACCGGTCAGCCCGTCGTATCAACAAGATTTCAGACAAAAATTTAATTAAATACACAGATAAGTAGGTTATATATATAAAATATATATAATGAAGCCGCGCGGTCAGCAAGTGTTAGTACATGTATGTGTGTGTGTCCCAGGCAGGCAGAGCGTCTCGCCCCAGCTGTGAGGGGGGGGTGGAGGCGGCGCTGTGAGGGAGGGGGGTGGAGATAGGAGTAGCTCAGTCGCTCTCTGTAAACGGTCAGAGGAGGGTGCGCTGAGCTCTACACCCCACAAATGCCCAGAACATGCCGTATACCTTGGAAATCCGTTCGAACAAGGTCACACATGAATGGCACGAAACACACAATGCACTAAACACTTCACAGAAAATCACTGTCACTGACACTGCTCAAAGTTGCGAAATTCTTCGAGGGATGACGCGGGGTTGACCCAAGGCGGGGATCCATCAGCCGCTTTCCACAAACTTGCACTAATCACTCGTAATAATCCAGTAAAACTACGCACTGCGCCATGTTAGATGTTCTGGGTAATAAGTTCTATATACAGGAGAGAACACAAACACCTGTATAGTTTTGTAGGTTCGGTTTACTGGATAAGAGTATGTACACAGAGGTGGATAGCACTGCTCCCTAGCTAAGGTCCTGGTCAACTACCATAGACGACGTATGGCAAGTGATACATTAGCAGCTTCCATACGTCGCCAGGCACATTAATTAAGCATGTGGGATATGGTAATAACATTGCCACACGCTGCTAGCTAGGCTGAATGAATAATACATAAATGGAGCACGTACATAATATACATACATAATACGTAATCCAGCATACATAATATACATACAGTCTCTAATGAATAAGCTTGTAGGCAGAGCTGTTGAGAGAATATAATGTTGTTGTTATGGTATATTGTCTTAGGTTCTGTTGGGTATACTCAGTGTTGTACAGGAGACAATGGTGTTGGTCCTGCAAGGTAGATAACACAGCAGCTCTTTGTTAACTCTCAACCATACCCAACAATGTCTGTGTACACTTGTTATCAGCCGGGACAGGGAGCCATTTATTTTATACACAGTAATTTCGTTTACCTGTAGTGTATATGTGTCTGCACACAATACAGGTAAAAAAAAATAATTGTCCTAAGGGCAAATGTTGTTATTCATAATATTTTGGAGATCCAAACCTCACAAATTTTTTTAAGAGCCATGTATTTCATTTACCTGATTTATTGTATTTTATCATTGTATTTGTCTTACATTAAGGTATTTTAGATGTATACAACACTTACTATTACTGATAACAATACCTGCATGTGGTGTCTTCAGTATATTGAAGCTCTTTATCTTTACAGCTATTTCATACAGCTCCCCCACTTTACCAGCTTATGGTACTAAATCAACTAGGAATGGTTAATAAAAATAATAATAATACAAGTAATGTAAGTGAGACAATCATCACTACGTGGACAAGAGTTGTACTGCCGTCTGTGTGATTTCGAAGAAAATTTTACCGTCATCGGTCGAGTTCTTTCTTACTCCAAAGAAGTAATACTCTTGAGATCCCTTCAGTGAGTTCAATATGTTCGACAGTTGACGGTCAAGTCCATCTTGTTCCCACGAATAAGCTGTAGGCAGAGCTGTTGAGAGAATATAATGTTGTTATGGTATATTGTCTTAGGTCTCCATGGGTATACTCAGTGTCGTACAGGAGACAATGGTGTTAGTCCTGCAAGGTAGATAAGACAGCAGCTCTTTTTTGTTAATCCCCTCAACCATACCCAACACAATGTCTGTGACACTTGTTATCACGACAGGAGCCATTTATTTTATACACAGTAATTTTTACTCTGTAGTGTATATGTGTCTGCACACACATATAAAAAAATAGTTGTCCTAAGGGCAACAAGTCTATGCATATTTTGAGATCCAAACCTCACAAATTTTAAGAGTTTTGCTGCATTTCATTTTACCTGATTTATTTGTATTTATCATTAGATTATCTTACATTAAGGTATTTTAGATGTATACAACACTTACTATTACTGATAACAATACCTGCATGTGGTGTCTTCAGTATATTGAAGCTCTTTATCTTTACAGCTATTTCGTACAGCTCCCCCACTTTACCAGCTTATGGTACTAAATCAACTAGGAATGGTTAATAAAAATAATAATAATACAAGTAATGTAAGTGAGACAATCATCACTACATGGACAAGAGTTGTACTGCCGTCTGTGTGATTTCGAAGAAAATTTTACCGTCATCGGTCGAGTTCTTTCTCACTCCAAAGAAGTAATACTCTTGAGATTCCTTCAGTGAGTTCAATATGTTCGACAGTTGACGGTCAAGTCCATCTTGTTCCCACGAATAAGCTGTAGGCAGAGCTGTTGAGAGAATATAATGTTGTTATGGTATATTGTCTTAGGTTCTGTTGGGTATACTCAGTGTTGTACAGGAGACAATGGTGTTGGTCCTGCAAGGTAGATAACACAGCAGCTCTTTGTTAACTCTCAACCATACCCAACAATGTCTGTGGACACTTGTTATCAGCCGGGACAGGGAGCCATTTATTTTATACACAGTAATTTCTTTTACCTGTAGTGTATATGTGTCTGCACACAATACAGGTAAAAAAAATAATTGTCCTAAGGGCAAATGTTATTCATGGCCATTTTGAGATCCAAACCCTCACAAATTTTAAGAGCTTGCTGTATTTCATTTACCTGATTTATTGTATTTTATCATTGTATTTGTCTTACATTAAGGTATTTTAGATGTATACAACACTTACTATTACTGATAACAATACCTGCATGTGGTGTCTTCAGTATATTGAAGCTCTTTATCTTTACAGCTATTTCATACAGCTCCCCCACTTTACCAGCTTATGGTACTAAATCAACTAGGAATGGTTAATAAAAATAATAATAATACAAGTAATGTAAGTGAGACAATCATCACTACATGGACAAGAGTTGTACTGCTGCCTGTGTGATTTCGAAGAAAATTTTACCGTCATCGGTCGAGTTCTTTCTTACTCCAAAGAAGTAATACTCTTGAGATTCCTTCAGTGAGTTCAATATGTTCGACAGTTGACGGTCAAGTCCATCTTGTTCCCACGAATAAGCTGTAGGCAGAGCTGTTGAGAGAATATAATGTTGTTGTTATGGTATATTGTCTTAGGTTCTGTTGGGTATACTCAGTGTTGTACAGGAGACAATGGTGTTGGTCCTGCAAGGTAGATAACACATCCGCTCTTTGTTAACTCAACCATACCCAACAATGTCTGTGGACACTTATTATCAGCCGGGACAGGGAGCCATTTATTTTATACACAGTAATTTCTTTTACCTGTAGTGTATATGTGTGTGCACACAATACAGGTAAAAAAAAATAATTGTCCTAAGGGCAAATGTTATTCATGGCCATTTTGAGATCCAAACCCTCACAAATTTTAAGAGCTTGCTGTATTTCATTTACCTGATTTATTGTATTTTATCATTGTATTTGTCTTACATTAAGGTATTTTAGATGTATACAACACTTACTATTACTGATAACAATACCTGCATGTGGTGTCTTCAGTATATTGAAGCTCTTTATCTTTACAGCTATTTCGTACAGCTCCCCCACTTTACCAGCTTATGGTACTAAATCAACTAGGAATGGTTAATAAAAATAATAATAATACAAGTAATGTAAGTGAGACAATCATCACTACATGGACAAGAGTTGTACTGCCGTCTGTGTGATTTCGAAGAAAATTTTACCGTCATCGGTCGAGTTCTTTCTCACTCCAAAGAAGTAATACTCTTGAGATTCCTTCAGTGAGTTCAATATGTTCGACAGTTGACGGTCAAGTCCATCTTGTTCCCACGAATAAGCTGTAGGCAGAGCTGTTGAGAGAATATAATGTTGTTATGGTATATTGTCTTAGGTTCTGTTGGGTATACTCAGTGTTGTACAGGAGACAATGGTGTTGGTCCTGCAAGGTAGATAACACAGCAGCTCTTTGTTAACTCTCAACCATACCCAACAATGTCTGTGACACTATATCAGTCGATAGGAGCCATTTATTTTATACACAGTTATTTCTTTTACCTGTAGTGTATATGTGTCTGCACACAATACAGGTAAAAAAAAATAATTGTCCTAAGGGCAAATGTTATTCATGGCCATTTTGAGATCCAAACCCTCACAAATTTTAAGAGCTTGCTGTATTTCATTTACCTGATTTATTGTATTTTATCATTGTATTTGTCTTTACATTAAGGTATTTTAGATGGCACAACACTTCATTATTACTGATAACAATATTCTGCATGGTGTCTTCAGTATATTGAAGCTCTTTATCTTTACAGTTTAATACAGCCCCCAATTTTACCAGCTTGGCGGTACTAAATCAACTAGAATGGTTAATAAAAATAATAATACAAGTAATGTAAGTGAGACACAATCATCATACATGACAAGAGTTGCACTTTGCCGCCTGTGTGATTTCTCGGTACAGTACCTTACCGTCATCGGTCGAGTTCTTTCTTACTCCAAAGAAGTAATACTCTTGAGATTCCTTCAGTGAGTTCAATATGTTCGACAGTTGACGGTCAAGTCCATCTTGTTCCCATGAATAAGCTGTAGGCAGAGCTGTTGAGAGAATATAATGTTGTTGTTATGGTATATTGTCTTAGGTTCTGTTGGGTATACTCAGTGTTGTACAGGAGACAATGGTGTTGGTCCTGCAAGGTAGATAACACAGCAGCTCTTTGTTAACTCTCAACCATACCCAACAATGTCTGTGGACACTTGTTATCAGCCGGGACAGGGAGCCATTTATTTTATACACAGTAATTTCTTTTACCTGTAGTGTATATGTGTCTGCACACAATACAGGTAAAAAAAATAGTTGTCCTAAGGGCAAATGTTATTCATGGCCATTTTGAGATCCAAACCCTCACAAATTTTAAGAGCTTGCTGTATTTCATTTACCTGATTTATTGTATTTTATCATTGTATTTGTCTTACATTAAGGTATTTTAGATGTATACAACACTTACTATTACTGATAACAATACCTGCATGTGGTGTCTTCAGTATATTGAAGCTCTTTATCTTTACAGCTATTTCATACAGCTCCCCCACTTTACCAGCTTATGGTATTAAATCAACTAGGAATGGTTAATAAAAATAATAATAATACAAGTAATGTAAGTGAGACAATCATCACTACATGGACAAGAGTTGTACTGCCGTCTGTGTGATTTCGAAGAAAATTTTACCGTCACTGCCATCGCCGTAGTTCTTCTACTCCAAAAGAAGTAATACTTGAGATTCCTTTCCAGTGAAGTGCCCAATATGTTCATTAGTTGATCGTCAAGTCCATCTTGTTCCCACGAATAAGCTGTAGGCAGAGCTGTTGAGAGAATATAATGTTGTTGTTATGGTATATTGTCTTAGGTTCTGTTGGGTATACTCAGTGTTGTACAGGAGACAATGGTGTTGGTCCTGCATGGTAGATAACACAGCAGCTCTTTGTTAACTCTCAACCATACCCAACAATGTCTGTGGACACTTGTTATCAGCCGGGACAGGGAGCCATTTATTTTATACACAGTAATTTCTTTTACCTGTAGTGTATATGTGTCTGCACACAATACAGGTAAAAAAAAATAGTTGTCCTAAGGGCAAATGTTATTCATGGCCATTTTGAGATCCAAACCCTCACAAATTTTAAGAGCTTGCTGTATTTCATTTACCTGATTTATTGTATTTTATCATTGTATTTGTCTTACATTAAGGTATTTTAGATGTATACAACACTTACTATTACTGATAACAATACCTGCATGTGGTGTCTTCAGTATATTGAAGCTCTTTATCTTTACAGCTATTTCATACAGCTCCCCCACTTTACCAGCTTATGGTACTAAATCAACTAGGAATGGTTAATAAAAATAATAATAATACAAGTAATGTAATTGAGACAATCATCACTACATGGACAAGAGTTGTACTGCCGTCTGTGTGATTTCGAAGAAAATTTTACCGTCATCGGTCGAGTTCTTTCTTACTCCAAAGAAGTAATACTCTTGAGATTCCTTCTGTGAGTTCAATATGTTCGACAGTTGACGGTCAAGTCCATCTTGTTCCCACGAATAAGCTGTAGGCAGAGCTGTTGAGAGAATATAATGTTATGGTATATTGTCTTAGGTTCTGTTGGGTATACTCAGTGTTGTACAGGAGACAATGGTGTTGGTCCTGCAAGGTAGATAACACAGCAGCTCTTTGTTAACTCTCAACCATACCCAACAATGTCTGTGGACACTTGTTATCAGCCGGGACAGGGAGCCATTTATTTTATACACAGTATTTTCTTTTACCTGTAGTGTATATGTGTCTGCACACAATACAGGTAAAAAAAATAATTGTCCTAAGGGCAAATGTTATTCATGGCCATTTTGAGATCCAAACCCTCACAAATTTTAAGAGCTTGCTGTATTTCATTTACCTGATTTATTGTATTTTATCAATGTATTTGTCTTACATTAAGGTATTTTAGATGTATACAACACTTACTATTACTGATAATACCTAAAATATGGTGTTCCTAGTATATTGAAGCCTCTTTTATCTTACAGCGGCTTCATACAGCTCCCCACTTACCAGCTTATGGTACTAAATCAACTAGGAATGGTTAATAAAAATAATAATAATACAAGTAATGCGACACCATCACTACATGGACGTAGTTGTAATTGCCGCCTGTGTGATTCGGCTAGGTTCTACCGGCCATCGGTCAGTTCTTTCTATCTAAAGAAGTAATACTCTTTGAGATTCCTTCAGTGAGTTCAATATGTTCGACAGTTGACGGTCAAGTTCATCTTGTTCCCACGAATAAGCTGTAGGCAGAGCTGTTGAGAGAATATAATGTTGTTGTTATGGTATATTGTCTTAGGTTCTGTTGGGTATACTCAGTGTTGTACAGGAGACAATGGTGTTGGTCCTGCAAGGTAGATAACACAGCAGCTCTTTGTTAACTCTCAACCATACCCAACAATGTCTGTGGACACTTGTTATCAGCCGGGACAGGGAGCCATTTATTTTATACACAGTAATTTCTTTTACCTGTAGTGTATATGTGTCTGCACACAATACAGGTAAAAAAAAATAGTTGTCCTAAGGGCAAATGTTATTCATGGCCATTTTGAGATCCAAACCCTCACAAATTTTAAGAGCTTGCTGTATTTCATTTACCTGATTTATTGTATTTTACCATTGTATTTGTCTTACATTAAGGTATTTTAGATGTATACAACACTTACTATTACTGATAACAATACCTGCATGTGGTGTCTTCAGTATATTGAAGCTCTTTATCTTTACAGCTATTTCATACAGCTCCCCCACTTTACCAGCTTATGGTACTAAATCAACTAGGAATGGTTAATAAAAATAATAATAATACAAGTAATGTAAGTGAGACAATCATCACTACATGGACAAGAGTTGTACTGCCGTCCGTGTGATTTCGAAGAAAATTTTACCGTCATCGGTCGAGTTCTTTCTTACTCCAAAGAAGTAATACTCTTGAGATTCCTTCAGTGAGTTCAATATGTTCGACAGTTGACGGTCAAGTCCATCTTGTTCCCACGAATAAGCTGTAGGCAGAGCTGTTGAGAGAATATAATATTGTTGTTATGGTATATTGTCTTAGGTTCTGTTGGGTATACTCAGTGTTGTACAGGAGACAATGGTGTTGGTCCTGCAAGGTAGATAACACAGCAGCTCTTTGTTAACTCTCAACCATACCCAACAATGTCTGTGGACACTTGTTATCAGCCGGGACAGGGAGCCATTTATTTTATACACAGTAATTTCTTTTACCTGTAGTGTATATGTGTCTGCACACAATACAGGTAAAAAAAAATAGTTGTCCTAAGGGCAAATGTTATTCATGGCCATTTTGAGATCCAAACCCTCACAAATTTTAAGAGCTTGCTGTATTTCATTTACCTGATTTATTGTATTTTATCATTGTATTTGTCTTACATTAAGGTATTTTAGATGTATACAACACTTACTATTACTGATAACAATACCTGCATGTGGTGTCTTCAGTATATTGAAGCTCTTTATCTTTACAGCTATTTCATACAGCTCCCCCACTTTACCAGCTTATGGTACTAAATCAACTAGGAATGGTTAATAAAAATAATAATAATACAAGTAATGTAATTGAGACAATCATCACTACATGGACAAGAGTTGTACTGCCGTCTGTGTGATTTCGAAGAAAATTTTACCGTCATCGGTCGAGTTCTTTCTTACTCCAAAGAAGTAATACTCTTGAGATTCCTTCAGTGAGTTCAATATGTTCGACAGTTGACGGTCAAGTCCATCTTGTTCCCACGAATAAGCTGTAGGCAGAGCTGTTGAGAGAATATAATGTTGTTGTTATGGTATATTGTCTTAGGTTCTGTTGGGTATACTCAGTGTTGTACAGGAGACAATGGTGTTGGTCCTGCAAGGTAGATAACACAGCAGCTCTTTGTTAACTCTCAACCATACCCAACAATGTCTGTGGACACTTGTTATCAGGCCGACAGGGAGCCATATTTTATAATATTAGTAATTTCTGTTTACTCTGTAGTGTATATGTCTGCACGGTCAATACAGGTAAAAAAAATAGTTGTCCTAAGGGCAATGTTATTCATGGTCATTTTGAGATCCAAACTCCTCACAAATTTTAAGAGCTTGCTGTATTTCATTTACCTGATTTATTGTATTTTATCATTGTATTTGTCTTACATTAAGGTATTTTAGATGTATACAACACTTACTATTACTGATAACAATACCTGCATGTGGTGTCTTCAGTATATTGAAGCTCTTTATCTTTACAGCTATTTCATACAGCTCCCCCACTTTACCAGCTTATGGTACTAAATCAACTAGGAATGGTTAATAAAAATAATAATAATACAAGTAATGTAATTGAGACAATCATCACTACATGGACAAGAGTTGTACTGCCGTCTGTGTGATTTCGAAGAAAATTTTACCCTCATCGGTCGAGTTCTTTCTTACTCCAAAGAAGTAATACTCTTGAGATTCCTTCTGTGAGTTCAATATGTTCGACAGTTGACGGTCAAGTCCATCTTGTTCCCACGAATAAGCTGTAGGCAGAGCTGTTGAGAGAATATAATGTTATGGTATATTGTCTTAGGTTCTGTTGGGTATACTCAGTGTTGTACAGGAGACAATGGTGTTGGTCCTGCAAGGTAGATAACACAGCAGCTCTTTGTTAACTCTCAACCATACCCAACAATGTCTGTGGACACTTGTTATCAGCCGGGACAGGGAGCCATTTATTTTATACACAGTAATTTCTTTTACCTGTAGTGTATATGTGTCTGCACACAATACAGGTAAAAAATACTGTCCTAAGGGGTAAACAAGTTATTCATGGCCATTTCCTTGGAGATCCAAACCCCGCCAAATTTTAAGAGCTTGTTGTATTTCATTTTACCTGATTTATTGTATTTTATCATTGTATTTGTCTTTACATTAAGGTATTTTAGATGCATACAACACTTACTTTTGTTACTGATAATACCTGCATGTGGT